CCTGCTCGTGTGCCCCCTCACCCGTGCGCACTCACGTCCCCGCAAGGGCTTCAGGGCTCACCCCGTGACACGGGCTTTGCTTATCTTCCCGCAATAGCAGCAGAACCCCAGCGATGCCCAGAATGAGTCTTTTCTAACATTTTTCTTTCTTTTTGTTTCTTTTCTTCGAGTCCAGCACCATCCCGCTCTGGCTCTGTCCCTCTCCGCTGAGGTCAGGTGTGAAAAAAATCTTAGCAGCATCAGTTTGTGGACAAGCTCAGACTGAGGGTTAGCCTAGTCAAATGGGCTAAAAGACTTAAAAAAAATTTTAAAAATCTAGATTCAAAACCTAGTGAGAAATGCTAAAACCACAGAACTCGATGGCCTCTAACAGGACCAGAGGTAAGTAAACACGACAGACTTCTCGGAAACAGTGACGTAGCTTACGTGCTGTTAATCTGTACAATGCCACCAATCTAAAAAGCCCTAACACAGCCAAAAAAAACTTTAAAAAAATAGAAAAGGAGGATCCCATCCATGACGCCTGACCGTTAAATAAAATAAATGACATTTTTTTTCCCCCCAGCTTCTCTAATTAGCATCCGCTGACCCTGCCCTGCCTCGCCCCATCAGCTGTCCGCGGTTTTCTCCGCGTCTTTGGAATGGATGATGTACATGAAAGTCTGTTCGATGGTGAAGTCCGGCGGGAGGCTGCCCTTGTGCACGCCGATGTGCTTGCTCATGAGGTTGAGCGTGGAGCTGTAGTGCCCGCACACGGTGCAGCGGTACATGAGGGCTCCCGAGTGCGTCCGCAGGTGGCACTTGATGGTGGAGCGGCCGCGGAAGAACTTGTGGCACACCTTGCACTGGTAGGGCTTCTCTCCGGTGTGGATGCGCCGGTGGTAGTTGAACTCGCTGGTGTGGGCAAACCTCTTCCCGCAGACCTTGCAGCTGTACTTGCTGTTGCCCGGCTGGCTTTGCAGCGCCAGGTCTTCGCTCAAGAACTCCTCCGGCAGCTTCCTCTTCTGCAGGCTGGGCTGCGGCAGGCGGTCCCCAAAGCCGGGTCGGATGTCCAGGCTGCCCCCGCATTTGTGCTGGCTGACGTGGTAACGGTACGCCGCTTCCAGCTTGAAGCTCTGGCCGCAGAAGTGGCAGCGGAAAAGAGCCTCCTCCACGTTCTGGTGGACGGCCAAGTGCTTCTCCAGGAGGTGCCGGTCCACGAAGCTGCTGGCGCAGACGGAGCAGGAGAAGACGGAGATGCCCAGGTGGGACAGGGCGTGCCACAGCAGGCTGCAGAGGCTGAGGTGCCTCTGGTCACACACGCCGCAGGTCTGGCTTTTCAAGTTCACGTGGTCCAGGACGTGGCTGCGGCGA